AGACGGCTTCTTCTTCCGCGTGTGAGGGACCCGACCGAGCAGACGGCTTCTTCTTCCGCGTGTGAGGGGGACCCGACCGAGCAGACGGCTTCTTCTTCCGCGTCCCTTGTGAGGGGACCCGACGAGCAGACGGCTTCTTCTTCCGCGTGTGAGGGGGACCCGACCGAGCAGACGGCTTCTTCTTCCGCGTGTGAGGGGAACCCGACCGAGCAGACGGCTTCTTCTTCCGCGTGTGAGGGGGACCCGACCGAGCAGACGGCTTCTTCTTCCGCGTGAGGGGGACCGACCGAGCAGACGGCTTCTTCTTCCGCGTGTGAGGGGACCCGACCGAGCAGACGGCTTCTTCTTCCGCCCGACGAGCAGACGGCTTCTTCTTCCGCGTGTGAGGGACCCGACCGAGCAGACGGCTTCTTCCCGCGTCCGAGAGCAGACGGGCTTCTTTTTCCGCGTGTGAGGGGGAACCCGACCGAGCAGACGGCTTCTTCTTCGCGTGTGAGGGGGAACCGACCGAGCAGACGGCTTCTTCTTCCGCGTGTGAAGAGGGACCCGACCGAGCAGACGGGCTTCTTCTTCCGCGTGTGAGGGGGAACCCGACCGAGCAGACGGCTTCTTCTTCCGCGCCCGACGAGCAGACGGCTTTTCTTCCGCGTGTGAGGGGGACCCGACCGAGCAGACGGCTTCTTCTTCCGCGTGTGAGGGGACCCGACCGAGCAGAGGCTTCTTCTTCCGTGTGAGGGGACCCGACCCGAGCAGACGGCTTCTTCTTCCGCGTGTGAGGGGAACCCGGCGAGCAGACGCTTCTTCTTCCGCGTGTGAAGGGGACCCGACCGAGCAGACGGCTTCTTCTTCCGCGTGTGAGGGGGACCGATTCTTCTTCGCGTGTGAGGGACCGACGAGCAGACGGCTTCTTTCTTCCGCGTGTGAGGGGAACCCGACCGAGCAGACGGCTTCTTCTTCCGCGTGTGAGGGGGAACCCGAGGAGCAGACGCTTCTTCTTCCGCGTGTGACCGAGAGCAGACGGCTTCTTCTTCGCGCCCGACGAGCAGACGGCTTCTTCTTCCGCGTGTGAGGGGGAACCCGACCGAGCAGACGGCTTCTTCTTCCGCGTGTGAGGGGAACCCGACCGAGCAGACGGCTTCTTTCCGCGTGTGAGGAACCGAAAGGGGGAACCGACGGAGCAGACGGCTTCTTCTTCCGCGTGTGAAGGGGAACCCGACCGAGCAGACGGCTTCTTCTTCCGCGTGTGAAGGGGAACCCGACCGAGCAGACGGCTTCTCTTCCGCGTGTGAGGGAACCGACCGAGCAGGACGGCTTCTTCTTCCGCGTGTGAAGGGGGACCGAGAGCAGACGGCTTCTTCTTCCGCGTGTTGAAGGGGGAACCCGACCGAGAGCAGGGGACCCGACCGAGCAGACGGCTTCTTTCTTCCGCGTGTGAGGGGGAACCCGACCGAGCAGACGGCTTCTTCTTCCGCGTGTGAGGGGGAAACCCGACCGAAGCAGACGCTTCTTCTTCCGCGTGTGAGGGGGAACGGACCGAGCAGACGGCTTCTTTTCCGCGTGTGAGGGGACCCGACCGAGCAGACGGCTTCTTCTTCCGCGTGTGAGGGGAAACCCGACCGAGCAGGACGGCTTCTTTCTTCGCGTGTGAGGGGGAACCCGGACCGAGCAGGGACGGCTTCTTCTTCCGCGTGTGAGGGGAACCCGACCGAGCAGACGGGCTTCTTCTTCCGCGTTGTGAGGGGAACCCGACCGAGCAGACGGCTTCTTCTTCCGCGATGGTGAGGGGGAACCGACCGAGCAGACGGCTTCTTCTTCCGCGTGTGAGGGGGAACCCGAGCCGAGCAGACGGCTTCTTCTTCCGCGTGTGAGGGGAACCCGACGAGCAGACGGCTTCTTCTTCCGCTGTGAGGGGGAACCCGACCGAGCAGAGGCTTCTTCTTCGCGTGTGAGGGGGGAACCCGACCGAGCAGACGGCTTCTTCTTCCGCGTGTGAGGGGGAACCCGACCGAGCAGACGGCTTCTTCTTCCGCGTGTCCCCGCCGAGCAGGACAAGGGGACCCCGACCGAGCAGACGGCTCTTCTTCCGCGTGTGAGGGGACCCCGACCGAGCAGACGGCTTCTTTTCTTACCGCGTGTGAGGGGGACCGACGAGCAGACGGCTTTTCTTCTTCCGCGTGTTGAGGGGACCCCGACCGAAGCAGGACGGCTTCTTCTTCCGGTGTGAGGGGGACCCCGACCGAGCAGACGGCTTCTTCTTCGCGTGTGAGGGGACCCCGACCGAGCAGACGGGCTTCTTCATTCCGCGTGTGAGGGGACCGACCTAGCAGACGGCTTCTTCTTCCGCGTGTGAGGGGACCCCGACCGAGCAGACGGCTTCTTCTTTCCGCGTGTGAGGGGGGACCCGACGAGCAGTACGGCTTCTTCTGCGCGGCGTCGTCTGTGAGGGGGGACTCCGACCGAGAGACGGCTTCTTCTTCCGGCGTGATGAGGAGGGTGGGGG